TGCAGAAGTTTTAGGAGAGCCTCATTTACATTTATCTCACGCTTAAAGCTGCTGCTACTGCTGCTGCAGCTGCCGCAGCAGCAGCAGCAGAAACACCAGCAGTAGCAGCAGTATCAGTAAGTAGCACTCGCAGCGGTAGCAGCAGCTGCAGCAGCTGCTGCAGCAAATGGAAGGACAGCAGAGAGACTCATGAAGCTAAGCTTCCTTCAACACCAGCCAAAACCAGCAGCAGCTGCAGCAACGGTAGCAGCAGTAGCAGCAGCAGCCGCAGCAGTAGCAGCACCTGCTGCTGCTGCTGTTGTAGCAGCAGCAACAGCAAACTGTGAAGGGACACGCAATAAACTTCCTCACAGGTAATATCCAGAGGCCGCAGCAGCTGCAGCAGTAACAGCAGCAACAGCAGCAACAGCAACAACAGCAACAGCAGCAGCAGCCGCAGCAGCAACAGCAGCAACATCAGCAGCAGCAACTGCAGCTGCAGCTGTCTCCTCATTTTGCAGTATCTCTTCTTTGTTTTCGCTCCTCAGGAGCTGCACGCGCTGCAGCGTCCAGTTGACGCTAAGCCCTAAACCCTGAGGGTTTAGGGTTTAGGGTTTAGGGTTTAGGGTTTAGGGTCTGCAAGGAAAACCTCTTTTGAATTTCACCCCTCCCATAAGCCCTGAACTATCGAACGTGTCTGTACACCGTAAAACCCCTAAACCCTAAAAGTGTTACTCTGACCCTAAACCCTAAACCCTAAAGAAAACCGTAATAAACCTTAACCCCCCGTTAGGGTTTAGGGTTTAGGGTTTAGGGTTTAAGAAGCATAACAGCAAAGGGCGCATGCATTGTGGGTCGGAGGTGATTATTTGTCTCTTCGTTTCATTTTTTATTATTAAACAAAACCAATAAAATCTTCTATTCATATTCGAATAGGGCGCGAGGGTTTAGGGTTTAGGGTTTAGGGTTTAGGGTTTAGGGTTAAGGGTTAGGGTTTAGGGTTTAGGCGTACCAAAGTCTGGTTGTTTTGCGGTCGAGCGCCGCAACAAATGTAAACGAACAAACACCAGCAGCATGCAGCTGCTGCTGAAGCTGCAGCAGCTGCTGCTGCTGCAACAGCAACATGAACCTGCCGAGCAAGCCTCAGAGGCTCGCCTGCAGTGTAAGGAGTCTGTCTACGGCCAAGGGTTTAGGGTTTAGGGTTTAGGGTTTAGGGTTCAGGTTTTTCAAGCTTTTTGTGATATCTGCGAGATACGTGCTTCTCGCCTTCCTTCGAGACAACGCAGTACTGCGCATACACCGCAAACCCTAAACCCTAAACCCTAAAAAACCCTAAACCCCCGAATATTGAAGCCTTCAACTGTAAACCCTAAACCCTCTATAAACCCTCAGCCATACGCCCTTAACTCTTCAAACCAAAACCCGCAAAACCCTAAACCCTTGGAACCCTAAACTCTCAACGCTGAACCCTAATGCCCTAAACCCTAAACCCTAAACCCTCGCGCACCTGAGCCATTGTAATGGGGCCCGTCTCCTTTCCCTCCGGATCTTCTTTCAATAGAATTCGAGTCATGTACAGTGTGCCTGAGGTGCCACCAAACCCTAAACCCTAAACCCTAAACCCTAACCCTACGCCCTCCCCACCCTAGGATAAAAGAAGGGCTCCTGCGTGAGCGTAATTTGAAAAAAAACGTTTGTACAAGAGATTAGGGTTTAGGGTTTAGGGTTTAGGGTGTTCAGCTTCGTGTTTCTCTTTCTGTTGAAGAGTTCCGGTTCGAGGGTTTAGAGTTTAACTAGGGTTTGGCTATGAGGGTTTAGGGTTTTTGCATTGCAGGTAGTTGTTAGGAATACATTCACATACTTAACGCGTCCGGGTTTGGTGTTTTGTGCGTGCATGCATTCCCTGCAGTTTAGGGTTTAAGGATTAGGGTTTAGGGTTTAGGGTTTAGGGTTTAGGGTTTGCGTGCCTCTTTCCATTTGATATTTAGCAAAGAGAATGCCGTCAATTTCTGCTGCTAGAAATGTCCCCTCAGAGCATCCGGGGGCCATCTTTTCAATTGGAGGGTGAGGAAACACCTGCCCCATCTGCACGCAATTAGGGTTTAGGGTTTAGGGTTTAGGGTTTAGGGATAGAATCAATAAACAAAAAGGAAAACTCGAAAAGCCAGTTGCTGTCCGACTCTATGTTTCCAAGGCTAAACAAATCAACCAGTGCAAATTGTAGCACGCAAAGGGTTTAGGGTTTAGGGTTTAGGGTTTAGGGTTTAGGGTTTAGGGTTTAGGGTTTAGGGTTTCGGGGACTGCTGTTTTTGGGATTCCATCGAAGGAGATTTTTCTGGGGCAATCTGCGCGTAGAGCCTCATGCGAGATGACGGTGATATGCGGATAGGGTTTAGGGTTTGCATGCAGCTGCTTTTCTTTATTGTCGTCTGCAGGGATGCAGTGTATATACACTAAACCAACGCGAGGAGAGCTGATGTGCAGGCACCACTCCCAGGTTGCTCTGTCTTTGGGGTCTAAACCGAAAAAATTTGTTATTACATTTAATCCATCTGAACTGAAAACAAATGCAAACCCTAAACCCTAAACCCTAAACCCTACTGAAGAAGGAAGCAGAAAAGCAACAAAGGCCGAGACAAGAAGAAGCAGTAACAGTATAAATAAATTAAAAACCCCAAACCCTAAACCCTTAAACGTAACGAGGAATCGAGGTGTGCAAGGGAGGGTTAAGAGTGAGAGGCTTATGGTGTTTGTACAGCAGAGTGAGGCGCAGATCACACTAAACCGTAAACCCTAAACCCTAAACCCTAAACCCTTGCGTTTCTGTTTCCTGGCAATGACATGCACAAAGAGAAGCGCTTCCAAATGCATCTTCTACTCTTGTATCGACGGCCTGTGTAAGTGGGGTTCATAGCCCACTGTCTAAGTAGGGCTTACGGATTATAGGGTTTAGGGTTTAGGGTTTAGGGTTTAGAGAACCAGTGGTCCTTTTGACGCACCGGTGGTCATCGAGAATTTTCCACTCTCCATTCAACCCTTCGTTGCTCTCCGCACGGTACTTGAGAAGTTCTTGAGGAACTTCACCTGAAAAAAAAACCCTAAACCCTAAACCCTAAACCCTAAACCCTTAATCTTGATGCGGTCGCGCCCGAAGGGAAGATGAGAAAGTCACTTCCCCCGTACTTCTGGAAAGTTTTTGTGAGGGTTTACCATCTTTGAATTCTTCTCTAAGTTGTTCCATTTTTTATTTCATGAAAGAAGAAAAAAAGATGAATATTTCGTCTTCTGTCTCCAGGTGTATGCACACCTCGCTCCTGCACGATGGTGGGTGTTAATGGAAGAACGGCAGGTAGAAATAGTGGAAAGCGGCAACAAAAGGCAAATATTATATTTTTCCTTCAATTTTCAAGGCAAAAACAACTCTAAAATGCACAAACTAATCGGCATACGAACACACCAACAAACACACTCAATGAGAATGAGAGCAGCCGTCTGTACACCTGAAGCAAACTGGCTTCCACTGTCGTTCCTGGGGTATAACGCACCGTTAGAAAGGAAATTTATGTTAAAATTCAATTAGTCCGTTGCATTTGGTTTTATTTAAAGCAATTATAGGCAAAAAACACAAAAAATCAACGCAACAACCCCCGCAGACGGACGCCACCCGCCGCTCCAGAAAAAGTAAGCGGCAATATTAGAATATATCCATCGAAATACATGTTATTGTTTTATTATCAAGTGTATAATTTAAAATAAAACAAAAAACATTTGCTTCCGTCATAGACAAGCACTTTTCGTCCAGTTGAGCAGTCAACACAGCCTTGCAGTACTTCGCCGCAAATTTGTTTTTCGCAATAATTGCACAAACATTAAACCCCTTCGTTTTAAATGAAAACTAATTGAAATACAGAGGTCGTTTGGTCTCCTTTTCTGGTCTGAGGCCACCCAATGACTAACAAAGGCTACCTCTCTCATATGCGTCTGCTTAAACCCTTGTACAGGGTTTGAAGAGGAGGCATAAGTTAGGATGAGGGGTTAGGGGTTATTGCTGCGGGTATTTTTCGGTGCCTGCAGTGTACTTGCAGACCAAAGGAAGAGAAAACAAACAAATGGAGTCCTTTATGAATGCAGAAATTGCCTACAGATACTGCTTTAGCCCTTGCATAATCTCACATCTTCTTTTTATGACTTGCAGCTCATCACGAAACAAGAAAGAGCAGCTTCAAACCTTTAAACCGTAGACCCTTGAGGGTAATTGTAACGAGACTTCTTAAGCTTGCCTTTGGAGCAGTATGAACTGCGCTAGAGTCAAAGCACTCATGATAGTAGCTTCACCCCCTTTCCTATTATATATATGTATACATATACATATATACATATATATATACTTATTTATTTATTTATTTATCGGGCCCACTAACTGGGGACAAGCATTAGCCGTACCTTCGAGTCAAAAGGGCATGCGGATGCAACAAGGGTTTGGTGGTTGTTGAGGAGCGGAGTATTGCCTCTCTCGTTTGGAAGTAATGTAATATAACTGGAGCGATGTGAAGAGATGAGTAAACTGCTGAAATATGCAGCCTTTCGGGTGCTCATTCTCTAGGGGGTATCAGAAAAGCTTCTTTCAGGCAGATGTTACAAGGAGGCTTGAGGCCTCCGCATTTTCGTCTCCACATGTTTCTGTTCGCTTACTCGAGGGAACGTGAATGCATGCGTTAACAATTGACCTTTGTCTGTTCTCATCTGTTCATCGGTGTGCAACCCTGTTCATCTCTTCAAAGAGGCAGATGCCTTCTGTACATTAGAACGAAGCTTGAAGATGCTTTGGAAGTAAGTCATGCATGCGCTGCGTTCGTCATTCAGCGGGTTGCCGCCTTGATAGAAGCTCCTCTTGATTTAATACAAGGATGCAGATTGTTTCTTTAACTGTTCTTGTTTCTGCTCTTTGTTCGGCGTTTGTTTGTCTGTGGGCTTTGCAACGAAAACCTCAAAACCGCTGCTGTCGTTAGACTGTCACGACGGAGTGTATGCATATTTCCTTCGTTTCCTAGAGCGCCTTTGCGTTATTTTAGGATCTCTTCGCTGCTTTTTTCTGAGACCACTGATTGCATTCATCTCATTATAGAAGATACGAATGCTATGAAAGACGTGCGCTTGCTTTTTCTTGCTTCTTCCTCACATAGACTTCAGTTGTGTTATTTGTGTTATCTCGCAACCCCTCCAACTGTTAAAACCCACACATTTCCTTCACATACTAATATTCAATAAATCTGATTTTATGCATTTTTATGTCCTGTCTATCATCGAAAGCATATAAAGGAGTCACAGAGACTGCACCAATGAACAAATAAATAGGCTGCATCTCCTCCGTGTAGCTTCATATATCAGACCCAATTCACAACAGTTGCCGACTAGCTCCAGCAACTCCTGAACAATAATATAATGCAAACTTAGTCAAGCAAAAGCTTAACTTGAAGCAGAGCTTCAGGCGGGGCTTTCATCGTCGCTGCGCATGCTCCTTCGGAGACACAGCGCTCTCACGATTGCTTCGTTTGTCTCCGTGTGGGCGCTGCCCACCTTCTTGCTTATCTAATTTAATATTCTTCTTCATGAAGTTGCGACAGTGAGTTGTTTTGAAAGAGAGTCAAAACAGTAAAAAACATCGTCATCTAAAAAAGCAAAGCTTTTCTCTTCTCTCCGTGCATGCAGAACACAGTGGCAGGAGGGGCTGAAGATGATGAGGAGAGGTGCTGCGCTGCTGCTCCTGAGTGACTGCACTTCCTGCTGCAGCTGCTGCTGCAGCTGCTGCTGCAGCTGCTGCAGCAAAGCGCCCCTGCAACCAAATATGCTGAAGCTCCAGTTGCGATTCATGTATGAACAAATCCTGCGGCAGTTTTTAAAAGCCTACACCTAAACCCTAAACCCTAAACCCTAAAATATAGATACTTACATGTCCTCCTGAAAGAACCAGCCCTAGCCTTCCTTAAGACGAGCGATCTTTCTTCCCTTCATGCCGCTCTACATACGCTGCTCTGTTGTTGCTGCTGCTGCAGCAGCTAGTGCTATGACTGCAGCAGCCAATGCTGCGAGTGCAGCAGCTAGGGCTGCAACTGCAGCAGAAGCAGCTAGTGCTACGGTTTCTAAAGAAGAGCCGCAGGAAGAATGGTGGCGAAAGAGCAGCAAGAAGTTTGGGGTGTATAGGCAGCTCCGTTTGCTTCCTGACGCCGTTTCCCCCGTCGATCTTCATGAGTCTTCAAGCTAAGCAATTGCTTATTTCATTGACAACTGTAATAATAAGGCGGCCAGTAGTATAAAAGCAAAGAAGAGACAAAAATAATTAAGCCCTCCAAACGGAGACAGCAGCAGCTGCTGCTGAGGAGACAGCTCGGTTGTTTGTTCTGTCTCTTCCTTCTTGAAGCTCGAAGAAAGAAGCTGTCTCTGCATTAAACATAGTCTATGCTTTTTATCTGTTTTATTTACTCGCACTCATCTCTCTGTTTGTTTATCTCTGTCCCTCTCTCTTCATGCTTTTGTCTATATCTAAACACTTATGTGCCGATCCTTCTGTTTCCTACCCTGTTGCGGCTGCTGCTGCTGTGCTGCTGCTGCTGCTGCTGCTGCTGCTGTGCTGCAGCACTTCTTGCTGCAGAGTGCAGACCAGCCGACGAGGGTTTTGGGTTTAGCTATCACACATCTAGCGTTTAGGGTTTGCTACAACTCGAGAAGTTTAAGTCTTAGATTTTGCTCGAGAGAAGGCCCCTCATATCTGCTGCTGCTGCTGCTGCTGCTGCAGCAGCAGCTGGAACTTCGCTGCGCTGCGTTGTTTGCAGCCGGTAAGCAGCAGCAGCAGCAGCAGCAGTATTGTATTACTAGTAATAGTAGTCCTAGCTTTTCTAATGCTGTTTGCTGCTGCTGTTGCTTCTGGGCGCTGTGTAGGAGATCGACTTCTACAGTTGCAGTTGCTGCAGTTGCTGCTGTTGCTGCTGCTGCTGCTGCGTCTGGGTTTCTGCTGCTGCTGTTAAACGTAAAAGAAGCAACACGCAGAGAAGGGGTAGAGTCAGCTTACAGATGCAAACAAAAGTTAAAAAGTAGAAGGATCTAGGGTGTACGTACACCTCAGACAGAGCTCAAATAATCATCTGCCCGCAGCACAAGTGCACATACACCTGAGAAATTTAGTAGGGAAACGACAGGCTGCTGCAGCAGCAGCAGCAGCAGCAGCAACAGCAAACAGCTGCAGCGCGTCTGTTCTTTCTCTCTATAAATTAGACTAAGTGCAGCAGTAAAGAATTTATTCCCGTCTGTCTCTGTTGCTTGTCCGTATATAGCGGTTGCGTGTTGCTGCTGCTGCCGCTGCTGCTGCTGCTGCTGCTGCTGTTGCTGCTGCTGCTGCTGCTGCTGCTGCTGCTGTTGCATCTCCCTCACCGCTTGTTTGTTTGCGTTTTTAATATGCAGAAAACTCTTTTAACATTTTTCTTTTCATTTGCTTTATACTGCGTTTAGAACTGGCCGTGCCTCGCT